TACCAAGTGTAACAACTAGCAAATGATGCATTTCTCATTTGTTAATGAGTAGCCCAACCAGAGGTTAAAAGGAGAGAAACTTGTACGTCAAATCACTTCTCACTATGTGTCCTCCTGTTTGGTAGCATTTGCTTCAACCTGAATTTATTTTGTAACTAACCGATGATCTTTCCAACTTAACCCTTTAAGATGATAAAAATTCAGTAAAAGCCACCACAGAACCAAAGAACAGCAGCACTGATACCGAAGTCAAGCCTGTCAATCACTTTGGAGGGTACAAAGACTGCACTGAAGAAGTCTTCCGCTTTCTGGTCAATGTGGAAGCTATGGACATGCAGCAGCCCTGTTTTCAAAGACTCATGGCACATTTAAGACATCAGATCCAGTTGATTGCCGAGTCGAATTCAGAAGATATGAATTCTAAAGGAAAAGTCAGTACAGAGAACGGAAAGCGCAACACATCTAAGCGAAGCTTTCAGGGGACTATCTCATCATCATCATCCACATCATCCAGTACAGGAGAAATGAGTGGAAGTGGAAGTGGTGGGAAAGCCAAGAGAGCCAGACTTCATGCACATCATAGTAACAATAACAAGGTACAGAGCAGCAGTAGCAATGGAAATAGTACATCTGGTGGCAGCAGTGACAATGATAACAACTCAGACAATGCCAGAGAAACCCAGAGTGATTCTGCAATATGTTTAGAGGATGACCTTTCAGAGATGCCAGGAAGTAATGGAAAAGAAGGTGACAATGGTAGCAGAACAAGTAGTAACAGTGTCAGCAGTGGAACAACAAACAGAAGTGTGAATGAAACCAGCTCTTCAGCCAATACCTGTCCCTCTATGCTTTCACAAGGAGGCAACATTCCACTGCGTGCTCCATTTGTGCTTCCTTCATATGCAGCTCCGACATATGCACTTCACCCAGCTGGTACCCATTACATTCCAATTGTCCTGCATCCAAGTGTACCTGTCCCTTCTGCTTCAACATTCAATGGTGCTGCACAGATTCCATTTGGGATGATGGCATGGGGGATGATGCCCCCTGGAATGATGCCATCTGCAGCGGGTGGAATGCCTCCTAACCTCCCATTTGGTTTCCCCTTTCCATATGTTCCTTCAGCAATGCCCCCTTATGGATATCAAGCACCTCCAGTAGGTTTTCCTTTCCTTAATGGAATGAGGAAAGATCTTTCAGGACAGGGTCAAACAGACCCAGGTAATGGAGACAATGGCTCTAATGGTGATGACTGCAGCATTGAATCACGCATCTCCCCTGAGAGTATTGCCATTCAGACAGATACACCTTCTCCAAGTAACTCTGGTAATGAAAGTTCACACACTGATGAAGGAGGAAGTTGAGGTGTACTGATCTGGACTGTACGACATAAGCTGTAAAATTTTGAAAACTTATGAGAAGTCAGTGGAAAATCTATTGTTATTTGGGGCATGGAGTTGATTTTTGAGGAACTTTATGACAGCAGTGTAATGGCTTTAAAATTTCGTCATGAAGTAGGAGATCCATCAAGAATAAAGGCTGATAGTTTCTAAAGAAACTGTTTGGGGCTGCGTTGGTGGGGGTAACGAAATAATTTCAATATATCAACAAAGTTGAAATGGTAAATTGGCCACCGTTACGATTATAAAAGCTGACGTTTCGAGCGTTAGCCCTCCGACGATGGGCTAATGCTCAAAACGTCAGCTTTTATAATCGTAATGGCGATCTAACAAGAAGCTTAGTAAACCATGGAGTTTTTGGAGTCTACTCTCTAAGGCCCTGTATTGATGTCTTCTGTTTAATACTGATTTTCTTATAAGGAAGCCAGAGCATTGTGTATGCTTCAGTAACATTTTAAAATAATATATGAACGCAACAGAAGGCTCATTATGATTTCACAAAGTATAATGAAGAAAGTGGTGTTAATAGTTTGGCATCTCTCAAGCCAAGTTTTACTCCTGTTCGTGTGTGTCCACAGTTTTATCAGAGGTAAAGTAGGGAAACTTTTAGGTGTGTCCAACACTACGTGTGAAGTGTGAAATTACTTTAGCATTTGCAATTATTTAAGCATTCGCAGCTCTCATATTCCTCTTACTATGGAGAATGATTCAATGAGAGAAAATTAAAGTCTGTAAGACGATTGAGTTGATGGCAGTGTGGCATGAATCTTACAAATGTTCATAAACCATAAAGAGTTCTGTGGTAACAATTATCTGTCCCAATTTTCACCTTTCAATACATATCAAAAAATAACCATTAATTTAATTTGAAAAAAATTGTAGATAAGTTAGATGTCATGTTTTTTACTTCAAATGGCTTGATTGGGTTGTTTGTGCTAACTGCAAGCTCTCAAGGCCCCCAACTGTATCATATTTTTGTTATTGTGTGTTTAATTTTTTTTAATGACCAATACTGGAAGTTAAGTTTTATTTGTTTGCCTGAAGAAATTGGATGATTTTCCATAAATTTCAAAACTGATCTGTCACGGTGAGCAGTTTATACTTTTGCCAGTAGGTTTTAAATCTTGAGATAATATTATTAGTACTAGGAATAAAGTTTGCTATACTTATTGGTAACTTTGCTTCATATGTGCAAACTAAACTAAGTATCCCTGCTAATCTAAGTATCACTGATGTATTCTTGAGTACTGAATAGGATACCTCAACTCCAGAAAGGTTCAGGATGAGTCTGTCCATCAGTGGGAAGAGTAATTTTGAAAGTGTCACCTCTCAATCTGAGGTTTGCATCNNNACTCGTGAGCAGCCAGGGGCAGCTATTTAAGCAAATTCTGTTGTTTAAAGAAACAATGACTCCAAGAGGGAACAATGAAAAGTTTACTTAGCCATAACAAATCGCTTTTCTTTTCCTACTTTTATTTGTACAATTTTACAACTTTTTTCCTTTTTTAAAAAAATTTTTATTTTTTTCTCCATTCCTTCTTTTGAGATTACAATTGAGTCTTACTAGGTCCCAAACATCATCAAAGTGCGGGCAACAAAGACGCACGAGGTGTGATAGGTAGGAAGAAAGCCTTCCCATCACCCAATCCTCACTCACTGCATTCGCTCTAAACAGGACAACAAGGGAGAAAACTATAAGGCTCCAATGACTGTCAAATGATTTCACTATTTGGACACTGCTTTTGACAGCTACCCACTAGTTTGTCACCCTCAAGAACAATAAATAAATGGAGCATTGTGATAAATGATCGAATGACACGACTCAGTCTTTATCTTTATTTTTTTCAATTATATTTTCTGGTAAGTAAATTAGGATGGAAATAAATTATATGATTATGATTATTATAGAGACGAAAATGGCAAATCTGACAAAATTTCATCAAAATTGTCAAAGACAGCAAGCTGATTTTGACTAACATCAAAATCCTCAATTTCACCAAGCTGCAGATTTCACTTTGACAAATTGAACTAAAATTTGCTAAAATTGTAAAATGCATGAATGTTCACTTGGTTTGGAAGAATTTCATCAAATCTGCCATTCTCATTACTGCGTGCATTTCTGGACATAAATGTCTTTAGAAGGCATTTGTATACCCAGTTCTGTCTTTTGAAAAAAGTACTGGTGATCTTCCTTTGTTCAATGACATTACTATCATTTCACTGTCATTATATATGATTATGTCCACACAAAAGTGGTGTCACTTAAAAGCATTTACATCTTGAATGATTTATGGTTCATCTCTGACATGTTTGAATGCAAGCTAGGAAAAAACATGTGAAAACATTGCTCTAGGGTTTTAATTTGTGGTAGCATTGGTGCAACCTGGTTCCTGTCAAACAGCTTCTTTGAGGTTAGGCCCATTGGCATCTGGTCCTTTGAGAACAATCCAATACTTCTACAAATGTCCAAAAACTTGATGCTCCTGACTAAACAATAGGTCTCCAACTGATAGTTAATGCTACTACACTCTGTATAGACACTTAATTACCTGATAAATTTCCATATCTGACAGGAATAATGTACATTCTGAAATCAGCTAGTTTCAAACAAATAACTAACGTTTTCCAGCATGAGAAGAGAGAATGAGTTTATCTGTGCCATGGCATCAAGAGAAGCAGCCTGAGATTTGGACCACACCAAGTTTGGCCCAAACACAATAGCCAAGTTCTTTGCTGTCATTTTATTGACATTAGAATGTTTTTGTACCTGTTAAGAAAGGGAAAAGAAGTTTATATCTACACCCTGTAACATCCTAAATATCTAATGTTACACTATAATTATACCAATGTGTAACATAGTTGGGGTCTTTGCTAATAACAACACACCAGTCTTGAAGGTGATAAAAAAGGAGGTAGAGACATCTTAGTAATACTAGACTACGTGTAGCAGCGCCACAGTTAACTAATGGGTTGTACCAACTGTTACAAGTACTACAATGTACTCCCACTCAGTGGGATGCAAGTTCATTCCAAAATTTAAGTTGCAGGCACTCAAGGTTGGAGTCTAATTCTCAGATGTTGCTACCTGCCCAAAGAGCAATTAGTGTAAATAGGAATGACTCATTCCCTTAAGGATAATGGCTATGAAATTAGATAAATCAAGTGTCAGTATCAATTAACTGAACGCAATAAATCTAGATGGTTATTGTGCATTAGTATATACCACACAGGTGAATAGTTCTTCTCATTCATGCTGATAAGCTAGTTTGGAGGTGATTAGCAAGTACTATTCACTTCTGAGCTGCCGAAGAGACAAAATCATGCATTAACAATTCAATTTCTAACCATATTGACAGGAATAAGCTATTTCTTTTGGTTGCTGTGTGGTGTACACTAAAACAACTATTTCAACTCAGTGTTGGTGAAATAGGGGATATTTACCTTGCTGCTTTGCAGTTCAGTAAATATACATCAGGTACGTGTTATTCACCTCCACTTCGGTGAATAATTATTAATTATCCTCTTTTTTGAATATCAAGTAAACTAGTAAGTATGGTGTGTGGTTAAATATTTTTATCTGGGTGGGCCTTTCCCACTGTA